ACACCAGGCTGGTCCCACAGTCCTGCCCTCACCAAACACCTCTGAGCTGCCTGTGGGTCCAGGAAAATTAATTTAGGAGGGGGACTTTCTAAGCTGTGCACAGAAATGGTGTTCTCTCCTGCACTCACTGGCAGCTTGGCAGGTTGCTGTGAGCAGCACTGCAAAGGCTCTGCCTAATTTCATGACTTAAAAGGAGAGATGCATTGACAGGGGGTGAGTTGGGTAATTAAACAGAAAATCAAAGCAGTGCTGGCACGGTCCAGTGAGTTAATACAATCAAATACAGACAATTAGGGAATGGGAGCATCCACCTGGATCCCTGTGGTTAAGGGAGCAGCACTCCCAAGGCAAGGAGAGGGCTGGAAAATCTGTATTTTCTGGGGGGGCAGAGAGTCCCATCATGTACCTGCAGCAGGGGTAAAGGTCTGTAGGGCTGTGTTTGATGGGCTTCTGCAGCTGCAGATTGGCACGAGGGGAGACCCAAACCCTCTCTGAAGGCTGCAAACAGCTCCAGGTACGCAGCTCAGTGTCTTCCCACCTCTCACATCTTCATGGGGGACACACCTCAGGGTTCCCTTCCACAGACCAGCTCAGTCAAACTGGGTTGACCTGAAGCATGCCCTCATTGACCCTAATTAAAGATCAGTTAGATGGAGTGTGCATGTCCACCTCACAGTGTGTGCTCTCAGTGGGGCAGTGGGGGCTGTTCTGGGGTTTCTGGTGTCCATTCCTGCCCCATCCCTCACTAGCAGGGATCAGGTGGCTCAGCCAGGACGTGTGACCAGCAAAACTCTTTCTCCTGCTTCTCCTCCGAAAACATGCAGTAGGTAAGCACAGGAGAAAAACCAGCAGCAGTTATGTTCATGCCCTGGGGCACAAACAGCCCTTGTTATCCCTGCAGCTCCTGAGGACGTGAGACTTGCCTGCAACCAGCAGGGAAAAGAACAAGCTGGAGGTCCGGTGGATGCTGAGGTTGGTGGCACAGCCACCTTCCCAGGACAGCCCTGCTGAGCGTGACTTTGCCCCTTCCCTCATCCCCCGCCCCGTGTCCGGTGACAGCCCCGTGTCCCGCTGGCCCGTCATTAGTGCACTTTACCCCTGTTTATTACGATGCCCTGCGCTGCATCAGCTTAATGATTTACTGCTGCATCTGCTCTTATCCCCTCCCCGGGGAGCTGGTTCCTCCTTGGTTCACAGCTAATGCACCAACCCCCCCGGGGAGGCGGCCGGGAGGATGGTGAGGAGCCCGCTGAGACTCTCCCCTCCTCCTCCCGCAGCCACAAAACCTCCTGTCAGCCAAACCCTGGGCCACTTTACTTTTCCCAGTGTCTCGTTTGCTCTACTGAGGTTTTTTTTAAAGGTTTTATGAGTGCACTGATGGTGTCTCAGTCAGGGCATCGCTTCCATTTCCCCAGCTTGGAACTGCAGTCTGAAGTTCACCAGTGGAAACAGCTCGCAGCCATCACCACTACAATTAACTCTGCCCTTCAACCTCTGTAAATCAGGCAGTTCAGACACACCAGAGCTGGTCTGCTTGCTGTGGGACCTGCACTTGGTCCTGGGAGCAGCTGTGGGTGACAGAGATGGTCCCCAGGGAAAAGCTGACTCAGGGGAGAGGAGAAATGTCCTGGCTTGTGGAAAAAAAAAAAAAAAACCAACCCATGCTGAGCTGGGGAATGCCACTGAGATGTGGATCTGGAAACAACAAAGCCATTTCCAGAGGGGGTTTGGGTCTCCCCTCGTGCCAATCTGCAGCTGCAGGAGCACAGCAAACCCAGCCCTTCGCACTGGCAGCAGCTGAGGTGCTGTGGCCAAAAAACCCACCCTCCATCAGGCTGGTTGCCCTGAATGTTCTCTGCGTGTATCCCTGGATACAACACAACCCACAGCCCAAACGCTGCCCCTGGGAGGGAAGGCAGTGGTCCAGACACAGAGGTGAGAGATCTGTGCCTCTGAGGACACGAAGATGACACCCAAGAGATGTCAGGAGAGGAATCATCAACAAAGAAAAGCTCTCCCTTATCCTGCACTGCCTCACTCCATTGCCAGCACTGTCTGATTTGTCTGCAGAGACACTTCTAATCATAGCAGCACTTCCATCAGCTCCCTCAGGAGCTGGATCCCTAATGCATTAATGTCAGGCTAAAACCCCATTCTGAGCCATTTCATCCCATTATGGGCAGGTTTTCTCCTCTTTGCCTCACCCTCGCCGGGGACACTGAGCAATCATGTTCCTCATCCTGGCCAGCCCAGACCTGTCTGCAAAGCCAGGAAAGCAACTTCTCTGCCTCTAAAGGATCCTTAAGGGTCTTGGATTTAAGTTAATAAATTATCATCATCATCATTGGAAACTATTAGGCTCAATTGTCAGGGAGTATCTGAAGGACCATCAGGTGCTGCAGGAGCTTGTGCAGTGACTGCAGAGAGCCAGAGAAAACAGACTGAGGCAATCCATCCCACTGAAATGGGGAAATTCGACAGGGAAGCTCAAACTGGGATGAAAGCTTTAAATTCAGGATGCTGGACCTGAGGTCTGTTTAATAGACACACCTGAAAAGAGTCACTAGGGGAGAGAGACAAGTGAAAAGTGGTGATGGAGAGATTATATTGCTCCCTGTCTGCTCTTTTTTTCTGCTGCTTTTCTTTGTCTCCTGTTTTATAAGCCCCTGTTTCAGATTCTCCATCCCAAACCCTGCTCCAAGCTGTGCAGGAAGCAGCTCCAAGTTACAGCCCAGCAGAGAGAGCTGAGAAATAAAACAAATTAACCAAAGCCATCTTAATTTCAGGGGCTCAGAGCAGGTGCTTCATCATCCTTTTCCTTCTCTTTACGACCTGCGCTTGTTTGTTTGGGGTTTTATGGCACTGAGGTCTGACTTTAAAAATTATCTCTTTGGGGAAATGCAGGCTACCATCTTAAAATGCCATTTTTCTTCACCTCTGCACGATGCTTAAGTGATTAAAGTGCTTTCTAAAGGGGGTGGGTGCCATCTGTGCCCCAAACTGCCCCCGTGGCTCTGAGATGTGCCATGACTCCAATAATCCCTATCACCTCACAGCTACCAACCCAAAAATAAACTCAAAGCCACATTTTACCACCGCCAAAAATGCCACAAAAATCAGTATTTATAGAATCCTAGAACTCCAGAGTGGTTTAGGTTGGGAGGGCCCTTGAAGCTCATCCAGTTCCACCCCCTGCCATGGACAGGGACACCTCCTGCAAGACACTTTCCCCTTGGTTGCTCCAAGCCCTGTCCAACCTGGAATACTCCCAGGGGTGGGGTATCCACAGCTTCTCTGGGCATTTTCCAAAGAGGAGAAGATTGCTTGTCCTAAAATTGTCCCAACTGCCCCAGAATGTGACACAGGCTAAGAGATGCAGGTCTTCGACATCCCTCAAGGAAAACAACTACAGAAACCATTTCCATTGCAATATATCCCAAAAATATCCAATTATTCACTTACAGCACATAACCCTCAGCCTGCTGAGAGCCACAACTGCCCCCTAGAGAGCTGTGGGCACCCAACATGCCCCTCCACCAGCACCCTGTGCCTCAATAATCACACCCTGAGCTGCCAAAGCCAGGGGCTGTTAGTTTTTTAATGATAATCTGTCAGGAAGAAGGAAGAAACCCTTCCCCTGCAGCGAAAGTGTCCCTGTCCCTGGCAGAGGGGTTGGAACAAAATGAGTTTTAAGGTCCCTTCCAAGCCAAGCCATGCTGGGATCCTACGATTCTAACCTGCACATTTTGGGGAGGGGGAAGGGGGCACTAAAAGCGACTTTCCTGTGCAATCCTGGGGGGAGAGGAGGGTGGGGAGGGACTTTCTGGTTCAGCGCCCGCGGGGGGGGCGATTTGGGCTGAGCTGCGAGGCAGAGTTTCTGCTCTGAATTTGGCAGGGAGGGGAGGGGGAGCCGGCGAGGGCTCCTGGCTGGCAGAGCTGGGTGGGATCGGGGGGTCTCGTTTCCCCCCGGTTGCCCCGCTCTCACCTCTCCCTGCTTTCAGCCCCGCACACCGAGTTTATTCTTCAACTTCCTCCTTGCAAAACGCTGCTGCGGGTTTGCCCGGGGCTGTCCCATCGCCCGCAGCCCGGCAGGGACAGCAGGGACCCTCCTGTGTCCCCGCAGGGTGCTGGGACACCCCGGTGGGTCGAGCTCTGCCCCCCCTGCCCCCTCCCCGGCAATTCGCTCTGCCAAGGGCGGTGGGTGCAGGTTTACCCACCCTGAACCCTCTGCTTCCTCCCTGCGGGGTTTGGATCCCAACAGAGGGGTCCCCTAAAGGGCAGGTGTGGGGTGACCCCCCCTGCCAACCCCCCCGAGCCCCCCGCCCGGGGCAGCAGAGCCTTACCTGCCGCGTCGATGCCGCTGCCACACCTGCTCCCAGGTGACCCGTGCTCCTCCCCTGCCCCACCCTGCCAGCCCTGGGTGCCCACAGCCTCCCCAAAACCCCAGCCAGCAGGGAAAAGCGGCCCCGGACGCCGAAATCCCGCGCTCCTGGGCACATCAGGAACTGTAATTTTGCGGTTTCTCCCCCCCCAAAACTTTTCTGTGAGTTCCTGACTTCTGGTTGTCTCAAGGTTTTCCCCCCCCACACCCCCCAGAAAATCTTTATTTTCTCACATTTCACGCAATGGTGAAATTTCCTTCTGGCAGCCCCCCCTGTCACCCACCCCATGCAGGGCCAGGGGAGCTGCCTGGGGTATTACCCCACACGCCAGGCCCCTGCATTCCTCACCCCAAAACACTGCATTAATTATTAACTGGATTAATTCCTCCAAAGTACTTCATTTTCCGTGCTTCCCAGGTCTGATGGACGCTCCTCCTGGGATCCCCACTCAGAACCCATATTTCAATCCAAATGCAATTTTCTGACCAGGCCTCCTATAAAACTGAGTTTATCCTTAATAATACTTTCCACTTTCATCTCCAGCCCTGCAAGTGCTTTACAAATGTTAAATAATTAACCCCCACGACACCCTTGGGAGAGAGGGAAGCATTATTATGGCTATTTGTAAGGGAAGCTCTGACAGGGCCTTCTGTGCTCCAGCCCTGAGTTTTACTCACTTTTAGGGAGCAGCTCAGCTACTTACAGCCCTGAGAGCAACCACACCTGCCACAGGGAATTTGCAGCAAGAAAGCTGGATTTTAATGTTTTAAATATTTTAAATAGAAATACCACCCTGTTTTATAAACGACTTGAGGGTTAGAAGTGCTGTCTGGCAATCCCCTGTCTTTTCCTTATGTTATTATATTATTATTATTTTGATTTAGTAGCATCAAATCTATTCCCTCTCCCTGTCCCACAATGCTGTTTAAAAGGTAAATCTTTAAATAATAAATAATTACCCATTAATCCACCTTATCTCTCAGAGAGGTGAGTGCTGCTGGAAGGGAGGAAGCATCCCACTCTCTTTTATCAGCGGTGAGGTTGGATGACCAAACCCTTTGTGGTTTTTTTTGGAGGTGGGATGATTCAAATGTTCCAGAGGCAAAAGCCAAGCTGCAGGTATTTCTTGTCCCTCCATGAACTTGTTTCATGAACATCCCAGGAGGTGCTGACATTGTAACCTGTGTCCCACAAGCCCTGGAATAAATCAGATTTAATCAAGGGGTTTACACTCACCTCACACAGGAGGGTTTAACCCCCCAAAAAGAACAATCTCAAGTTGTGAGTGATGAAGTTTCTGGACCTGGTACCTAAGAAAGGCTGAGTGTGTTTAAAAACTCAACTTTTGGTTAAACCTGACCCTAAAATGGGAGCTTGTTCCTACCCCGTGCTCTGCCGAGTCATGTTGGTGTTTCTTGGCTACCAGGAAATTTGCACCTTCAAATATTTGCAGAACCAAATCACGGGGTGTGTAGGGGGTGGATCTTACCAGAAGGAAACAAATAACCTCTCTGTGTGCATTTATTGTAGTAAAGACCAGCCCTGAGCTGGGATTAAGTGGAACCTCAGCAGAATGTCTCACTGCCACACGGTCCTGATAAGACAAACCTGATGTCATCTCTAATTTATAGTCGTATCATCCTAGAGCTCAGCCACCCTTCAAACAGTTCCTTAAACAGCCTTGAAATCACATGTAAAGGCTTTGAATTCATCAAACCTGTGTCCAGTTTGGGAGCTGAGTCACCCCTGGAATTCTGGTCAGCACAGCACAACCAGCCTAAAAAACCCAGGGATCAATTCCTAATTAGCAACATTTCTAAACCTTATTGTCTTCCTATGAAATCACCCCAGAAAAAAAAAAAATCACAATTCCTATTCTAGGAAATTCTGAAGCCTCCAAAAGCTGTTTTGTGTCCTGCCCATCTCTAATTTTCCACCTCCTGATGTCTATTTTCTCCCCTGCTTACCCCACGCAGAACTGCAGCTCCTAAACACATCCATAGGAGCGCTGGCAGCAAACAACAGCCCGACAGTCTCTTCACACTGACATGCAAATCTGCAGGGAATCACCAAGAAAACAGGGATGTGCCGCTCTGGGAATCGTCTCGGGATGCCCTCTGGGAAGATGAGGTGGCACCTGCAGTCTCCACGGGTGCAGTGTGTGATACAGGCACGGGGGAGAGGAGGGCTCATGAAGAGCTCAGAACTAACTGTTCAGAGAAATGGGGGGAAATGATGGAGTGTAAGAGCCAGGAAATTGCTTCCCTCATGTTCCTGTTCTGGCAGAGGGGACGGGTGGCAGAGTCACACATCCAGAGGGATGAGTGCACGGGCTACCTGCAATCTCCAGAGGCAGGAAAATGGGAAAGCAGGCTGGAACACTGGCCAGGCACAGATATTTACCTGCTCCCTCGCTGGGATGTCCACGTGTTTTCCAACTGAGATAATGGCACCTTGTGTTCCTCCCCCTCCTCCTACACCCACGAAACCTTCCCCAAGGAGCAGGTGCTGTGGGATGCAGCACCCACTGCAGGCAACGGATCTGCAGGAAAACGGGTTTGTGTCTACATCCTCCCGTTTCCAAGTGAGCCACCTTCTGGTGGAGTCTCCCTCAGCCTTCCTGGTACCCGGGGCAGGATCCCTTCGGAGCATCCTCCCATCTCGGGGCTGTTTGTCACCCGAGCGCTCACCCCTCGCGTGCAACCCAGATCTCCAGTGATGCTGAAGCGCCTCGGAACAGGGGAAGGGGCAGAGACCTGCAGCTGCTTCAAGGCTCCACCACCTAAATTTATCCCTCTCCATGGGCAGCTTTATTCCCCACACGCTGTGGGATAGGGAGGATATCCGTGGGTGGGATATTTGTTGACCTCCAGCAACGAAAATACGGCCCTGGGGAGATACAAACTGGGGAAAAAAGGAAGGAGATGGCAAGGGATCCTTCAAACTCTGCCCAAAACGTGACCTAATTCTTGCAAACACCCTGTTCCCTCTCAGAGATGTCCAGGAAGGAGTTTGCCAGATGGCAAAAGGAGGAGGTGAATAAATCCGACACGGCACATCTGCAGCTGCAGGGAGCACACGGCACCCGTGCACAGCCAGGCTGGAAAGGGATGGATCTGGGGCTCAGCTTGGCAAGGAAAGCAGAGGAAAACCCCAAAGGCTTCTGTTACACCCCCCCACCATGAACAGATCTGAGACCCCGGCTGGGTAAGAACAGGCAAGAACGAAATGACAGCAGGGAGAGCTCAGCCACGATGTGATTCCAACGGCATCAGTCCCAGCTGGATGGCAGGGCTGGAGCGTGCTTGGACATGATAAAAGCATTAATAAGGCACAGAAGATCATTAAAAGGAAAATTATGTATCCAGAGAACAGTAATGGAAAGGAAGGAGAAGACAGAGGGTGAGGAAACGGTGACAAACAGAGAGGGAGGTGCAGGGAGAGAGGGTGAGGGATAAAAGTGACAGTAACAGCACCCAAAAGGGACCTCATAAAGGGCAAAACTCCATGGGAAACTTTAACAGGGTGAAAAAACAACTCACAACTGAAGTGGGGTAAAAAAAAAAAAAAAAAAAAAAAAAAAAAAAAAAAAAAAAAAAAAAAAGGGACAAGAAGTCAATGAAATGTTCCCTGAAACCCCCTCACATTGAGAGGGAGCCATCTGGGAGAGGTGCAGGGAGCTGGGCAGCCTTTAGGGCTGTGCCGGTGAAATTAAATCTTCTCATCCCGGGATTTGGGGATTTCCCCCCTCCTGCCAAGCTGCCGCTCCGCAGCGATGGAGCAAGTGCACATCGCAGTGGCGGAGGGAGGAATGTCACCTCCCCAGCAGGGCTCGGCCCCGCTCTCCAGACCTACGTCACCAAGCAGAACAAGAGGCGTTTCGGTAGGGACTCGTTCATCGTCAACACCTGCAGCGGAAGAATCGTCTCGGAGTGACTGGGAGCTTACTGGGGACACAAAGCTGCGAGGGCACAGCAGGGTCAGATTCAGTGGGTAGCTTTACCTGAAAAGAGGGAAAATCAGTTCAATCACCTCGACATTAATACTGAACCCTTTGCTTTTGAAATTAGCTTTGGAAAGTGTCATTAATACTGATATTTAATTTGTTTCCCCCCCCCCCCCATATTCATCTTTACAGTCTTCCCCACTGTTCTCCTGCCCAGCACTCCCACTCCAGCCTCTCATTCCCAAGCAAACATTTATACTTTCTGCTAATTTTCCTTTATTTTTCAGCCCTAAAAGTTGCATTTCATCAAAACCCACACTTGGGACCGGGGGAGAAGAGCGAATCCAAACCCTGCTATTTTTCTGACCTTTAGCAATGGAAACAGAACCCCAGTGTGCTACAAACCACCCTCTGCACAGGAGACCTTGGATAGGGAAGAATTCCAGCCTGCCCTGTAAATCCATGCCCAGGGAGGAGGATGTTTTGGGATTTGAGACCCGGGGGTTTGGGGAGCAGCTGAGAGGTTGCACTGGGGATTTGTGTTGTTAAATGGGGGAAGAGAGGTGGTGATCTGGGGTTAGGGGATCCTTGTGGACGCAGGGATGGGGGTAGGGAATGGGGGATGTGGGATGTGGGATGATGATGCTGCCCCAGCCTCGGGGACCCGCCGTCACACGGCAGGACCAGACGAGCCTGGGGTGTGCAGGATTGAACCCCGGGAATGTTCGGGAACACTAGGGGGTGCTGAGGGCCCGCAGAAAGGCTCCTGCCACCACCGAGGGAGGCTTAGGGGTGCGAGGAGGCGGGTCTGCACCCCCATTTTGGGTTGGGGGGAACCCAGTCCTAACCAGTCCCACAGTGCCTGTGAGAAGCTCCTGGAGTCGCTTGGCCACAGCCCTCCCTCTCCGAAGGTGCTTGGCCGCAGCTGGGCTGCCACACTGATTTCGGGAAGAGCAGCTCTATCCCTGTGCCTTCCCCTCCTTTCCCGGGGTCATCCCGGACATCACATCCCTGTCTGACCACCGGGGAAACTGAGGCACGAGGCGAGGCCTTACC